GCCGGAGCCTCCTCGGCACAAAGGCCGGTTGCCCTCAGAGGAAGGGGGGAAGGGGGGAGGCTTCCGGCCCTGGCGTGGAGCGGGCTTGCCCGGGAGCTTCAGCCCCTTTCCAGGGCGCTTCTGGAAGCGCAGTTCTTCCTGGCGAGCGCTAGCTTCGCGGATCCGTCGAGTGTGCCAACCTCAAATGGCTGGTTTGCGTTAACTGAAGCTGTTTCTACCCATGCTGCTTTCCCTGCTCCTCCCCAGTACTTGGAGGAGGGAAAGGCGGTAGCTTGCGCTGGTGGGCTGTTTGAATGGCACGCTGAAGCACAAAGGCCTACCGGTCACAATAGTTTGTTGCATTTATCTAATAAATTTGAATATGCTGAAGGAAGTTGTTGTCCTGCAGTGGAAGGACAAGTGCTTCTGGGTTTGCAGCAAAGTTCTACATCTGTCTGGCACTTGCTCAAAAGCAGTTAGCTTCTGCTAGGATGAGCAGCTACAAGCCCTGTCCCTGTTATACAAAGTGAAAGAAGACACTTAAACCACTTTTTCTGCCTAGCAGGAATAACTGAAGGGCATTTCGGTATGTGGTATACTACCTGTATTTGCATCACTGCACATCTTATGATACTTGTTTCTCTTCCTTTTAAATTATTTTTTACTTTCTTGTTGAATAGACTACAGTTGGTAGAAGCCTCTTTGGGCAGGTGCTGCCTAGCTCCAAAGTCCTGCTGGTTTGGCTGTCGGCACTGCCTTAACCATTTTTACAGGGTTGTGTCTTCGATAATTGGAGCACTTTCTAAAGTGCTCTCTAGAAGTTCAAAATTGGTGTGATATAAACGATGTGGTATCTTGGTTCAGTGTCCTGCTTAACAGCAGCCAGTACAACTGTGCTTTAAAAGAAAATGCAAGAAAACCCAACATACGCATCAGAATAATAAGGGTCCATATTGGGCTCTTCCAGATAACCTGGTCCTAATGCATGAAGGCTTATGGCTCTTCCCTTGTTTTGGTTTTCTTTTTCCTAACAATAAGATTTATACCTATAGGAAAACACAATAGTTACTAATCACACTGATTTTTGCCCTGTCACCTGGGCATGTATTCAGTAGGGCAGGTAATAGTCAGAGGAAACTTTTCTCAGGCTTCTGAACTTGTCACTTTTTTGTACTTCTGTGGTAGGAGAGGAGGACCAATTTTATCAAATCAAGCAAATTTTTTTCCCCTTAAGGTAAAATAATAGGAAGTTCCCAAGGAAATGTTTGAGATGTAATGCATTAGTTCTGCAATACAGATGGTCCCACTGGCATTAATTTTAATAAATTCTGGTCCAGTATCTGATATGGATATTGTAGTGTGTCTGAAGTGATAAACAGTTTAAAGTCAGAAGCCCAAATAATTTCTACCTTAAAGTTCTAAAAGAACTGGCTTACGTGCCTGGCTCACTGATAGTTTTTTCTATAATCTGATTATTGGGATAATTTCAGAATATATATGATTCCCCAGCAAGATTCTGAGAGACCAAATACAGAATTCACTCAATTATGATACAGTTCTGTAACTCCTAGTCAGTTCTGTTTTCTCTATGCTCTCTTAGGTTTTGTCAAAGAAACCCAACTTCTTTTAAATACTGAGTTTAGTTGAAAAAGGCAAAGGTGTGTATGTAATCAGATGCCAGAAATGTAGTTTGCAAGACACTCTGATGCTAAAATAACAGCTGTTTTTAGAACACGCTGACTGAACTGGCTGATGCACCTCGTCCATTGTTGTTAATAAGGGATCCTTAGTGAAATGCTCCCAGGAAATCAGAGTTGCAAGTCCTGGAACCAAGCCTTGTCATCAGTGAGCAGCAAATAAAAATGATAGTGCTGGAAAAAGTACTTTATTATAAAGTTTGGCAGAGTCTATTTGGACTCCCTGGTAAGACATGCCTGTTCAAGCACAATGCACTTAGGAACAGCCAGATACCAGCCCCCCTTGGGCAGTTCCTTTCAAATCTAGTATCCTCTGGCATATATGAAAGTGGACTTAAATGGTCTAGTCTCCTTTGTATGATTTTTTTGTTACAGTGTGTAGCTCTGAATTCCCTTCTTTTTCCATTTCTGGTCGGGAAAAGTCTTGCTGCTTCTGTTTCTCTGTGTAACTTTTTTCTGGGCTTCCCTGAATCTCCTTCTACCATGTTATTTGAGACAGAATTTAAAGAACTGAAAACTGCATTCCAGGCATGGGGACGCTATCAGTCATGGTATAAAAATTCGTACTGTTTTCTTGTTGTTCCTTGTAAATCCTAATATTGGCCATTTTTCTTTTCTGTCACTGCATTTGAACACTGAACCGATATCTTCACTGATCTGTCCAAAGTGTGGGTCAGCATTTTTCTATCAGCAGCTGATTAATTTAAGCCCAATAATATGCTTTGGTATCAGCTTCCAGTGTGTCTTTCTCTGCAGTTGCCTCCATAAATATTACATGTTGTGTGCTCACCTCATATATTAGCATTGAAAATGTTGGATCCAATTAGCAGCACTGGAAATGGCATTTTGTAGTATGCTTGCAAACTTTCTGTGCTGTGTAACCTGTTAATTAGATCACAGATTGTGTACACTTCAAAAATCTTGCTTGTTGTTTGCTCAAATTACTTGCTGTAGCCAAGTGAAAAATATTACAGAAATAATGCAAGCCACAGACTGTACAATCATCTAAGTCTTTCCTGCAGAAGAACAAGCTCTGACATTTGGAACAGTTATCTGTGCCATAATTACTGTTTCAGTAGACTCACTGAAGTATGAAAAATCAGTGCATCTGTTTTGCAGGAAATAATCTTGAATATGAAGTGCAGATTTGTTGTACAATTTGTGTTCCCTTGAAGTTGAACACATAACTCAAAATAGCTATTTGTGTTAAAATCTTTAAGGTGAGCCTGGTAGTGAAGTTAAGTTGGACTCTCTCCTCGCTCTGTATTTGGAGTATTTAAAATTATACTAACAGCTTGCGTTTGGAATAAAATAAGTAAATGCACTAATGGCATAGCTTTTATACATTGACTTTATTGCTTTGCTTTTGTGTTTAAATAGAAACTACTATTTCCGTGGTATTTTTTTCAACACAATAGCTGCTTTACCAGTGATTTTACACATTTTAAAGTTACGTAAGGATTGATAGGACTGATCGGAAACAAAAATTAACACATCTTATATGAACAGTAAATGCTATTTGGAAAATGTCCATGTCCCTGATAGCTAGTTCAGTATTTTAATATTATACTTCTTTTTAGTGCTTCATTCAGATAAATAACTTAATTCAAACAAAAAAAAAATTCAAATTTTGCAAGTAACCTGTTTTCTTGGTGTTTGTTTTGTTTTTCAGTCTCACACAATTCTACTTGTCCAGCCTACCAAGAGGCCAGAAGGCAGAACATATGCTGATTACGAATCAGTGAATGAATGCATGGAAGGTGGGTGCAGACATGGTAGTCAAAAACTGTTGTTAAAACCCCGCTTTTGACATATCCCCAAAATTACTCAGTAAGAAAATAAGTTACTGTTCATGCTGTCCCAAAGTAATTCACAAAAAAAATGCAAAAATCTCATGCTTTTAGTTTACTAATGTTTTAGCAAACTAAAAAATATTTATTCTTTGTTTCTAAAACAAAGAACTTGTTTTAGAAAAACAAAATTTTAGAAAAAACAATTCTAAAACAAAGAACATTCCTTTTTATATTAAATGCCTCTTATTGATTTAACTAGATTGAACCACATTCAGTTCATGATAGTAGGCAATGTTCTTGGTGGGGCTATGCAGCAGACTTGCCTGAATGCATTTCATTGCAGGATCAGAGCCTAACAACTCACTAATTTTTGTGCTAGCCATGTAAAGGAAAGATTGCTACTGGAAATAATACATAAAATAAAAGTATGTGTGCAATTGATACATAATTTGCAGCCTCGTGGCATGCATGCCAGAGAAAAAAATCCTG